TTTCATTCTCTTCTTCTTTAAGGTTAACCCCTTTACCTGTGTCCTTAATCCTATCCCTCCCCCAGACCTTGTTCCTACAGTCTTCACCTCTCCTCTTTCTTTGATCTCTCCTGCCTCCTATATACTCTATCTACATCTACCCACTCACATACTCAGGTCTCCCCAATCCTACATATGTATTTTCTGAGCCTTTTAACACATCCTGTTACCATCCCATTGCACTCTTCATCTTCATCATTAAACTGCTGGGAAAAGAATGTCTAGACCCAAGAAGTTGTATCCAGCTCTACTTTCTCACTGCCTCCTCTCTGTTCAATGCCTTGCAATCTGGCTTTTGTCCCTACACTACTGAATCTGTTCTCTCATAGAGTGCCAATGACCTCCTAATGAACAACATTAACTTTGAGTTGCTCAGTTCTATTCCCCTACAATATTTAACATTATTACCACTATTCCACCTAACGAGAATTCTTTCCTTGAACATGAGTGGCATCAAACTCACTTGGTTCTCCCCCGTTTCTCTCACCACCCCTGCTCTATCTCTTTAACTTGGTCCTCATCCTGTCCAAAAAGTGGGCCTCCTCCACAAGGTTCTGTCCTGGTTTCTCCTCTCTTTCTATGCAGTTTCTAGGTTCTGTCCCTCAGCAATCCCATTCACTCTCGTGGCTTCCATTTCAACCTTTAAAGGAAAATGATTCCCAAAGCTCTGCCACTAACTCAGACCTGTCTCCTGAACTCCAATCAATCAATCAACAAATGCCATTTTAAACACCCACTATGTGCCAGGCATTACAGATCCACATTTCTAGTGGACATTTTAACTGGATATCCTATAGGTACCTCATATTCAGCACATTGAAAACAGAGCTCCTAAAAAAATTTTAAAAAAAGGAAAACAGAGCTCCTTATTTCCCCACTTCCCTCTTCCTAGCTTCCCTGCTCCTGTTGAGGGCACCACCATCCTTCCAGTTACCCAGGGTCACACAACCTCAGAGTCACTCCCAACTCTAGCTCTACCTCAATCCACTATAACTAATCAGCTGTCAAGTCATCTTTAGACTGAGCTTCTTGAGAGCAGGAACTTTCTTTTGCTTTTCTGTATTTTCCCAGCCCCAACATTTTTGTGGTTGTTGTCCAGTTTTCAGTTGTGTTCAACTCTTTGTGACTCCTTCTGGGATTTTCTTAGCAGAGATACTGGAGTGGTTTGCCATTTCCTTCTCCAGCTCATTTTACAGATGAGGAAACTGAGGCAAATAGGGTTAAGTGACTTGCCTAGGGTCACACAACTACTGTCTGAGGCCAAATTTGAACTCAAGAAGATGAGTCTTCCTGACTCCAGGTCCAGTACTCTATCCACTGTGCCACCTAGCACAGTAGGTGCTTAATAAATGTTTGTTGGCTGACTCATCATTTAAACTTCCACAACCTCTCTTACATCTGTCTGTTTTTCTCTATTCCTATGAATAACTCCCTAGTCCAGGCCCTTATCACTTCTTTCCTAGACTAGCTTTCTCATCGGTCTCCTTGTGGCAAGCCTCTCCCCACTACAATCCACCCTCAAAAGAGCTGCCAAATTGATATCCCTAAGGCACAGGTCAGACCATGTAACTCCCCTGCTCACAAAGATCAAGTGACTCTTTATTCCCTCTAGCATAAAATATGGAATTCTCAACTTAGCATCTAAAGCCCTTCACAATCTGCCTCTAGCTTCCCTTCACAAACATTTCACAATACTACCTTTCATGTACTCTTTGGCCCAGTACAAGATTGTTTGTTGTTTCCCACTTGAGGTATTCCATCTCACACTTCTGAACCTTTGCAGAAGCTGTATCCCATGCCTGGAATGCCCTCCTTCCTCACTTTTGCCTGTTGAAATCTCTAGCTTTCTTCAGATCTCAACTCAAACACCAACTCCTACACAAGGTCTATCCCAGCCTCCTTAGTTGTTGCCATCTTCTTGCCATGAAATTACATTGTATTCACTTGCTATCTATTTTGTATTGACTTACTTTCATACATTGTTTTCACCCATGGAAACATAATTCTCGATTGTTTCATTTTCATTCTTGTATCCTTGGTGCCTGACACATAGTACACATTTAATAAGTGTTTATTGAATGAATAAATCCCTTTCTTTGAGCGAATCTGATCTCTCTTCAGAACTTCAGGCTTACATCTCCACCTTGATGTTCCACCAGTCCCTTAAACTCAAAACTAAAACCAAGCTTAGCCCCCTAAACCCTTTCTTCTGAGTTAACTGGTTCTTCCAGGAATAACCACTGCTAATACAGTGTCCCATTTTTCTAAGCATTAGAGTTAGAGGAAATCAGAGAGGTCATCAAGTCCAACCCCCTCATTTTACAGATGAGTAAACTGAGGCACAGAAATGTTATGCTATTTTACCAGAGTCATATAGTAAGCACACAGGACTGAGAGTTTCCTTAATCTAAGTACAGTAGTTTATCCATTACACCACACTTCCTTCATTGTTATCTTTGATTCTTTCCTCTTCCTCACTTCTCACATCCACCTCTATAATAATTTTTTCACATCCATGCCTTTCTGTTTCAATTCCAACCACCTACATAGGGGCCCTTATTACTGGCCACTTTAACTATCAAAATAGGATTCTTCAAAATGGCTCTTCTCTATTTTCTCCTGTTCTAAACTATGCTTCATATCCTGACTAGACTAATTAATTTTTTTATGTATAAATTCTAGTCATGACACTCCTCTGCTCAAACATCTCCAGTGGCTCCCTGTTGCCCATTCAGTAAAGTTCAAACTTATTTGCCCAACATTCACAGTTCTCCATAGCTGGGCACTACATCCTTCCAACCTTATTTCATATATTCTTCTCCATATACTTACTCTATACTCTAGCCAAATGGGACTACTAGCTATCCCTTAAATAGATGATGAGTTTTTATATTTTTTGTGTTTCATCTTCCAGCAATTTTTCCTGTGCCTAGAATGTATTCCCTCCCCTATTCTGACAGTTAAATTTTGACTAATTCTTAAATGTCCAACTCAAATGCCTTCTTCTCCAAGAAGTCCTCTGTGACCAGCCCCTTGTAAATAACAATCTTCCCCTTCTGTCCTCAGTTCTATATCCCTCTAAGTCACATACAATAGTTTATACCATAGCTACAATTTTTTGTTTCCTATCTCCCCTACTAAATTGTAAGCTCCTTCAGAGCAGTGATTGTGTCTTATTTAAACTTTATATATCCTGCTGGCATGGAATATACTATTCTGGAGGGCAAAGGAGATAGGATTACAACCAAGAATCACCTACCCAGCAAAACTGAGTATAATCCTTCAGGGGGAAAAATGGTCATTCAGTGAAATAGAGGACTTTCAAGCATTCTTAATGAAAAGACCAGAGTTGAATAGAAAATTTGACTTTCAAATACAAGGCTCAAGTGGAACATGAAGAGGTAAACAGGAAAGAGAAATCATAAGAGACTTATTAAGGTTGAGCTGTTTACATTCCTGCATGGAAAGATGATATTTGTAACTCTTGAGACCTTTGTCAGTATTAGGGTAGTTGGAGGGAAAAAATTTTATGTATGTAGATAGATAGATAGATAGAGGGCACAGGGTGAGTTGAAGATGAAGGGGTGATATCTGGAGAATAAAATTAAGGGGTGAGAGAGGATTATACTAGGAGAAGGAGAAAGGGAGAGGTAGAAGGGGGTAAATTATCTCATAAAAAAACAGAAAAGAAAAGGCTCTTACAGTGGAGGGGCAACAGGGGAAGGTGAGAGGGAATGAATGAATCTTATTCTCATAGGATTTGACTTAAGGAGGGAATAACATACACATTCAATTGGGTATGAAAATCTGTCTTACCCTACAGGATAATAGGGAGGGGGAGGGGAAGGGGACAAAAGAGTAGGGGGATGATAGAGAGGAGGGCAAATTGGGAAAGGGGGTAATCAGAAGCAAATATCTCTGAGGAGGGACAGGGTCAAAAGAAAGAATAGAATAAATGGGGGGCAGGATAGGATTAAGGGAAATAAAATTAGTTTTTTACAGCATGTCTACTATGGAAGTGTTTTACATAACTGCACATGTATAACCTATATTTAGTTGCTTGCTTTTTCAATGAGGGTGGGTGGGGAGGGAGGAAGGGAGAAAATTTGGAACCCAAAGTTTTAAAAAACACATGTTTAAAAAAATATTTTCACATGCAACTGGGAAATAAGAAATACAGGAAATGGGGTACAGAAATCTATCCTGCCCTACAGGAAAATTGAAGGGGAAGGGGATAAGAGAAGGGGGGGAGAGATAGAAGGGAAGGCAGACTAGGGGAAGGAATATTCAGAATGCATGCCATCTTGGGGTGGGGGGAGGGGCAAGATGGGGTGAAAATTTGGAACTCAAAATCTTGTGGAAGTAAATGTTGAAAACAAAAAATAAATAAATTGATTAATTAAAAAAAACAAAAAAAATAAACTTTATATATTCTGCTGTACCTAGCCCAGATCTCTGCATACAGTAGATACTTAATGAAGAATTGTTGCTGAATGAATGAGTGTACAGCAACATTGATTACAAGAAAGAAAAACATTCAAATTATTATATAATTGAGGTTGTTGGAAAGTATCAATTTCTCTATCACTGGAAGTGACAAAGCAGTGACTTGCTGGATAAACTAGGTATCCAAATCCAAATCCAAATCCAAACTGGGTGGATTCATACTTTAGATTAGGTTTAGACTCTCAGTTCCCTTCCAATTCTTCTGTGATTCATTAAGAAGCCAATTAAAATTAATTGAGATATTTGAATTATTATTATTATTGAGATATTATTAAATCAATACAAGAAAAACTCATTTGTTTTTGTTTTAAAATGAAATGGTCTACTACATGAATATTTCCCAATTCTGATCCTAGATAGTTTCCCAGGGAGACAAACAAAAATCAATATCTCCTCATTTGTCCCCTCCTGTCTGATTCTTCCTCTGCTGTGACTCCTGTGGTCTTTCCCTGCAGGTCTGGGTAGATGCTGGAACTCAGATATTTTTCTCCTATGCCATCTGCCTGGGATGCTTGACAGCACTGGGAAGTTACAACAATTATAATAACAATTGCTACAGGTAAGTCTCTCATACTACCCCCAAACTGAGCCTCAATCTGTATTCATAACAGCTTTTATGGTAGAAAGTAATTTTCAGAGTCCTCAGTGCAGGCTGAACTTTCTTGCTCTTGTAGGTCAATGACAAAGATGAACTTAATCAGTTTCTCTGTCTCTGGGTTCCTCTGGGTTCTGAGTTCAACCAAAAGGACAAGGGACTGAGCTTGAATGGAAAGTTTGAGTGACATTTCAACATCTCGGGGCCAAGTATGGCTTGAGTATGAGGAGTGATCCTCTGAATTCTCTTCTGAAGGATACACAGGCAGTTTGGAGAGGACCAATTTGTACTTAGAAAATGTGCCAGCTCCCTTGGAAAATAAGCCCCCTTCTGCCTCCTCCATTGTCAAGTGTAATAGAGTTGATGCTACTTTGAGAGAAAAAAAAAAAGAACTTTAAGAAAGTGGACATAATTGACTTCACGAAACATAGGACTACACCTGACATGCTCAATCCAGGGGCAGTGGTATGGCTGAGCAACCTTCACCATTGACCTTTCTTTCAGCTTTTTGGGTAGCTCCTAACACTCCCTGTGTGGGATGCAGCATGGTAGGTGTCAAGTATCCATCAAAACTGTATTAAAACTTTGGATAGATACAAAATAGATTTCCTTGGGGAAAGTTTGGGGATTGTGGATTGTTAATCTAATTTAATCTTATTTCTGCTCAGTTTAGTTCAACTCAATAAAACATTTAATATTATTCTCAATAAATTATTATTAATGTTATAATAAATAAATCATAAATATACCATCATAAATGTAACATTAATGTATTAAAATTTAACATTAATATAATAATAACATAATAAATTAAAGCTAATAATCATAACTAAGACTTATATAGTACTTGAAGGTTTGTAAAGTACTTTACAAATATTATCTCATTTATCTTCATAACAGCCCTGAAAGGTAGGTGCTTTTATTATGTCCATTCTACAGTTGAAAAACTTAGGCAGACAGGTTAAGTGACTTGCCCATGGTCAAATGGGTATTTGGGGCAGGATTTGAACTCAGGTCTCCCTGATTCCAAGTCCAGCACTCTATCCACTGAGACACCTAGCTACATTGTGTGACTAGTCACAAAGATGAATAAGAGGGAATCCTTACCCTAGAGGAGATGTTTTTAACTTCTTTTGTGTGTGTCCTAGCCCCCTCGGGCAGGTTAGTGAAACCTATGGACACCTTCTCAGAATAATAATCTCAAATGCTTAAGGTGAAAGACATAAGATTACAAAGAAGTCTAGAATGGATTCAGTCTTTTGGGGGGAGGTGGGATGGAGGCAGAGGTAGGAGAAGAGGAAAGGAGAAGAGGATATTACTATCCTTTGGTGTCTTGACCATGAACTGGCAAGAGTCTCTGGCCTTGGCCTTTTCCTTATACATCCTCAAAAGGTTGTCATATTCTGAGAATGGGCTAGACCCAACTGTTCTGCCTGTGTGACTGCCCTGTCTCTTCCTTTCATGAATGTTCTTTGGTCTTTGCAGTCCAGGGTCGACAGGCAATACCCTTTCCTGTCATTTTCACTCATTTGAGTAGAAATTTTTTTCTTCCATTATTCAGGGTTATGATGCTGGGTGTTAGAAAGAAAAAGACCAGACCATTCAAGTGCAAAAGAATCAAGTGAGGCATGCTCTCTGGGGAATGAGAAGGGGAGGGATGCAGGGAAAAATCCACGTGATGGAAAAACAACAGAAAGCAATAAAAATCTATCTTTAAAATGTAGTTTAATAAAAAGAAGCCACTGCAAAAAAAAATTTTTTTAAGCCATAATTTTTCTTATAGAACAGAATAGAAAAACTATGTAGTGAAACAAGATGAATAAATGGAACCAAAAATATGGCATTATAATTTGAGTCCAATTACTGGAAATAACTTACTTTAAAACTATAGGGTATGACTATAAAGTAACATTACTGATTTTTAAAAAATAACACAGCTATCTCTCCTCTAAGCTTACCCATGTCTGTTGACAACACCCATCACCTTTCTGGCACCATGATTCTCATGTTTCTCTTTGGCCTCAGAGGGCAGAACCAGGAGTAATGAGTAGGAGCTGAAGAGGCATCTAGGTTCACAGTCTTGGAATCATCTTTGATTTTTCTCTCTCCCTCACTTCCCTATATCCATGAGTGGTCAAGACTTGCCCATACTACCTCCATAGCCTATCTCAAATCCACCCCCTTCTCCCCATAGCTTCTATTCTAGATCAGGCTCTCAGAATTTCTTGCCTGAACTATTGTAATAGCCTCCTCTCCATTAGTCTCCTGCCTTCTGTCTCTTCTTTCTCTAACCCATCTTCTGCACAGGTGCCAAATCATGTTCCTAAAACATAGATCAGACCATGACACTTGCCTATTCAAGAAATATGTAATGGCTCCTAACTGTCTTTCAGGTAAGATGTAAAATCATCAAGCCAGCATTCAGAGCTTCCTCAGTCTCCTTCCTATCTATCTTCCCATTCTTACTGCATATTGTACTCCGCATCATCCATTCTCCATCCCAGTCAAACTGTCCCACTAAGTAATTCCTCATATACAACATTATGTCCTCGACCTCTGTGTCTTTACACATTCATGGGTTCCCCCATTCTGACATGTGATTCCTCTTTGCTCCTGCCTCCCAAAATCACTAGCTTCCTTAAGGCACAACTTCAAGTCTACTTGACACATTTGCCAATACCTCCAGACGTGAGCATTTTTTTCCCTCTTCAAACTAATTTATGTGGTTGTGCACAGCTCTTTCATATTTGCTTACTTGTACACATGTTCAATCCCTGAGCACAATGCAAGTGCCTTGAGGACAGAGTCTATTTTAAATTTCTAATATGAACCTGAGGTATTTAATAATAAATGTTTGTTGGATTGAGTCAAATTGAAAAGACCATGGCAGAATTTAGACCGACGAGTGTTGTTCTTCAAAGTCATCAGTATCAGAGATAATGCGCTTATTTAGCTGAGCTGCATTGGTACAAAGCATTCTGGGACCTCCTCTTTGGAAATCAAAATCAGAGAAATTTAGAACTGGAAAGAACAATGAAGAAATCGCTTACTCCAGTGTTTTGAAATAATCTGTCTACAGGACACTTTGGATCTTGAAGCACATTAATAGGGGCCTGTAAAATGCAATTTGATATGATCTGGGGCTCCCATATCAGTTACTGACTGGCAGTATGGTGTGGTTCAAGTCTCTTCCTCTCTGTGGGACTCAGTTTTTTCATTTATAATAATGGGGTCAAACTTGATCTTCTTCAAAGTCCCTTTTAATTCTAACATTCTACCATCTCTATGAAGATATTTAGGACAAAGGGAAGAGTAGGGAAATTTGGGGGCAAATAGAGAAAGTAAGTCTTTTTTATATCTAAAAATTGTCTAAAAATTGCCACACATGACAAATGGGATAGTAGAATACAGACACAAAAGCACTTAATTTGCTTAAGCACTTAACCGAGGATTTGATAATTCTCTGCTCCCATATGTTTCTATACTTCCTCTCATGATTTCTAGTAATGATAACATACATTTCCATAGTACTTTAAGTTTACAAAGCTCTTCCCTTATTGCGGCTCTATCAGGGAAGTAGTGCAAGTGTAATTATGCCCATTTTACAGATGAAGAAATGGAGGCTCAGAGACATTAAGTGACTTGCCTGTGAGCTCACACCTAGTGAGTATCAGACATCCCCCTTCTGTGGAGAAAGCTTGGGCTATTGTATGTGCATGCCTGTCTTACAATCCTTCCATTTATCCATCCAGTGGAGTATTTAATTTCATCCTTCTTCAGCAGAAGGTAGATTCCAAAAGTTTTATTGTAAAGTCAGAATATTTACTTCAGCCAAAATATTCCATGAACAAGACCACTCAATTCAGACCTTACCAAAGCAAAGCTCTCCTTTGTAACATCAGTAAGAACCAGCACATCATAGTCTTAGGGGTAAATTAATCTGCTGCTTTCTGTCCATATCATGTATGTGTGGGAGGAAATTAATTAATAGAATTATAAAAGAACATAAGGAGAAACCTTTGTTTGGGGTTACATACCACTTAACTTTATGCATGAGTGTGTTTGTAGCTTATGAATTTTGAATTGGGGGTCAAAACACATTAGAAAGAAATTTAATGATTCTGCTAATCCAAACCTCTCCTTTTCCAAAAGGTTCAGTCAATTATTGACTGAGCTGGGAGCAGGAACCAGGTCTCCTGACTCCCAGTCCAGGGTTTTTTTTTTTCCACTATATGATGCTTGAGAGACTGAATGGTCTTAGTAGAAAAAGCTTTGGTCTGGGAGTTAGGAGATCTGAGTTCTGACAAAATTATCTTATAAAACACTTTGCAAAACTTAAAGTACCATGTAAGCGCTATTATAATAATTGTTGCTGTTATTATTATTATTGTCTTCCTAAAGCAAAGATCTGACCATGCTGTTTCCTTGCTCAAGAAACTTCAATGTTGGGGCAGCTAGATGGTGCAGTGGATAGAGCTCTGGCCTTGGAGTCAGGAGGACCTGAGTCCAAATCTGGCCTGAGACATTTGATACTTACTAGCTGTGTGACCCTGGGCAAGTCACTTAATGCTGATTGCCTCACCAAGGAAAAAAAGAAAGAAAGAAACTTCAAAGTCTCTCTAGAGCCTCTATGGTAAATTACAAACTCCATAAGGAGTCATTTAAGCCTTTACAATCTGACCCCAGTCTTCCTTTCCAAACCAATTGCACATATTTCCCCTTTGTGAACTCTATGTTCCACCTCCAATGGCCTATTTGCTGCCCCTCAAACTCAGTTCTTTACCCCACCCCTGTATTTACCTTTGTACAAGCTACCCTGCATTCCTAGAATACACTTTTTCATCTTTGCCTTTTAGAATACAAAACAGCAATATATTTGCCATATTCCACAGGAAGCCTTTTCTAATCCCCCTAATTGTGAGTGCTGCCTACCTCTTCCTCAAATTATCTGGTATATACTCATCTACTTACATATTATATATTCTCTGTCCTTCCCCCACCACCACCCCCATCTCCTTAAGAGCAGGGACTTTTTTTGGTCTTTCTTTGTATCTCTGGTTCAGTGCTTGGCACAAAAGCTTAATAAATGCTAGCTGATTGAGTGATTTGCTCCTGGAGGAAAGGGATTGTTTTCATTTTGTGCTTGTATCCCAGAATGGAGCACAGTGCCTTGGGTATAGAAGATGCTAAATAAATGCTTTTTAAAAATTGGATTAGATTGAATCAACTCGTAGTCAGGAGGGAGAAGATTAGTCCAGGATGGACAAAGCCAGAGAAAAGAGCCTTTCAGGAGCTTAGGGCCAGTTCCTTCCTTTGCTCCAGGAAAAAAAGTTCAAAAATGATCCCTACCAACTACAAGAAAAATAGGACTGTAGGCTCTGGACGTTGGTAAAAATGAGTCCAATCATTGAGTTCAACTCCAGGAACTTAGGTCCTGATAGGCTAAATGACCTAAGATCACTCTGCAATGTTAAGTAGCAGAGCCAGTATCCAATCCCAGTATAATATGGTGGTCAAAGAGTAGCTAATGAAGTCTTGGACTCCATTAAAAGAGGCATACCTTCTAGGAATGAGGAGATTATCATCTTGCTGTTCTCTGCCCTAGTCAGATCTCAAATGGAGGAGCATATACAGTTTCAGGTACCACATTTTGAATAGAATGTCCATAAAGAGAGGGTAACCATGATGGTGAAGGACCTCCAATCTATGCCTTATGAGGATGCTTTGAAGGAACTGGAGATGTTAAGCCAATAAGTCTCACAGAAGGGATGCGACAGCTGTCTTCAATTACTTAAATGGTTGTTGTTGTCTGTACTTTGTTCTTGAAGAGGACCATATCAGGAAGGTGATGCCATGACTTGGAAGTGAATTGGATTTAAGTGAGAAGGGGCTGTGCAAAGTCACCAGCCTCAGTTTCTCCTCTGGAGTCATCTGGGTCCAATGACCAGGTATAAATCAGGACACCTGGAGGTGGTCCCGGATGCAGTGGGAGACATTGGTCTTTTTAAGCTAAGGTCTTTCCCAGGTCTCAATCTGTCTGAGGCAACACTCATTCAGTGATTAAGGCTAGGTAAGAAATGAGGCAAAGAATGCCCTTTTTTACCTAATTAAAAAAATCAATCTGGGAGGGGAAAACTCTCTGGGTTTCTTGCCAAAACAGAAACAATTACTATTTACATTCCATCTGAGCAATCTGGGTGCAAACAATGACCAAGTTGGGCTTGGGCTGGGACCTATTGTTGGAAAGGGAAAGGCAAAGGCAAAGGCAAAGGGAAAGGAAGAAAAGAGGGAGGGAGGGATAAAAGAAGGAAGGAAGGAAGGAAGGAAGGAAGGAAGGAAGGAAGGAAGGAAGGAAGGAAGGAAGGAAGGAAGGAGCCAGCTGTTTGGCCCAACTGGAACTGGCCATTTGGGTTCCCAGTGGGGCAGCTTTTATTACTTACAGGTTGTTGTTTGTCCTTGATCTCAAAGAAGACTTTGTTTTGGTTGGCTACAGGGGGTAGAATTAGGGGCAGCAGATAGGAGATGCAAAGAGGTCAATTGTAGCTAAGGTAAATTTCCCAGCAATTGAAGCTACTCTTAAATGGGGATAGACTACCTCTCACTGAGAGGAGTGGGGGAGGGAGTTCTGATTTGGGTTGAATAAGGGTGCCTAAGCCCCATTTCACCCCTAAAATTCTGGGATTCTGTGACTCCAAACCAATGTTTCCCATTCTTTCAGGGTATCTCTACTCTGACCTTCTCTACTGCCCTTGGCCTTGCACCTCAAATCCAGAACTCTAGCTGTATTTTGAGAAAGACTTCTCCAGGCCTGTGGATAGGGCTGCTAGCCCACAAGCCATCATTCAATCCTCAGGTCTTCCGGTTGCTCATTTGATGGTGTGTCTGGCAGCCATGAAGGCCTGAAATCCAAACATGGAGTGAAGCAAGGCTCAGAGGTCGCTGCATTTACTCTCTTACTCGTCCCCTGATCCTTTCCCTTCAGTTTCATTTCCCACATAGTCTCTGCTTGTGCTGAGCTGAACAGACTCCCTTGGGGGGCAGCTGCAGTGAGCTTAGATTGGCTCTCCACTGTGAAGGCTGACAGGTCACTTAAAGACCCCCATTTCCTTGCAGCGATCAAGTTCCTCTCTCAGCCACTATTTCAGGGAAATGGCTTCTCAAAGATGGAATTCCTTACCCTGGGGATTTGCAATAATGAAGAGCACAAGAACATTTCTGCATCAGTAGAACCCGTTGCTGATTACCCATTGCCCTGAAGGCCTCCTTCTCAGAATTAGGCCTTTCTTCCCCTTCCCACATCTTTGTCTCATCCCTCCACCTTGAGTTCCTAAGATCATAGATTCAGAACCATTAATTCCAACCACCTCATTTTACAAGCAAGGAAAGTGAGGCACAGAGAGGTTAGTCTCTCAGTCTCAGGTCCTCTGTAATGAATAGGTTAGACTCAATGACCTCTAGGGTCCTTTCAGCTTTCACTCTGATTCTATAATCAGACAGGTCTGGAACTCTCTAAGCATTTCTTTGTTTGGAGTGATTTCCTTTCCACCCACAGAAATGAGATCCTAATGTTCATAACCTTGTTTGTGCCATGGGCCCTGTTAGTGGTCCAAGGGGAAGCCTATAGACCCATTTTCATCATTATTGAAGAAACAGCTAATAATTTAGTGAAAATAAAGATTCGGTTTTTTTTTCCCATCCAAGTTCACAGACCACCTGACACCTGTCCATTAACTCTTTGAAGGTCCGTGGACCCAAGTTAAGAACTATTCTAATGTGTTTCCCACCTCTGACCTTGGGCAGCCCATTCCCATAATTCAGTTAAGAAAGCAAATATTAAGTGACAAGTCTGTGCTCGGCACTGTGCTCAATCCTAGAAATGCAAAGACAAGAAATGAAGCAGGCCCTGGCCTCAGGGAGTTTGCATTCTGTCAGGGGAGAAAACATACGCATATAAGAATATACAAAATATAGGAAATAAATACAAGGTTAATTTGGAAGGGGGGAGGCACTCACTGTTGAGAAAACAGGAAAGTCATCACTTAAGAGAAGGTGTTTGAGCTGCGTTTTGAAGAAAGCTAGGGTTTCTAAGAGACAAAAGTGAAGAGAGAATGCATTCCAGGGATGGGAGACAATTCATGCAAAGTCAGGGATGTCAGAGATGTAACAGAGAAAGGATGTGATGTTTTCTAATTGTGTGTGATGATAGTGACTCACATTTCTGGTCTTAGTTAACTTCTTCCTCACCATGTGACCTTAGGCAAATCCCTTCATCTCTCTGAGCCTCAGTTTCTTCATCCATAAAATGAGAATCACCACATTGGCCCTGCCTCCCTCCTATGGTAGCTCTTTGTAAATTAACCATAAGCCTCAAGAAAACGTAGTCTAATCATCATTAAATATGGGAAAGAGACTAACAAAATGTAAAACACTGAGCAAATGGTATTACTATGATGGTCACAGTCTGCCAGAAAGCAGGAGACTGTTGCTACATTGCATAATGGAGATTAAAAATAATAATAACCAACATTTGTATAGCACTTATTATATGCCAGGCATTTTGCTAAGTGTTTTACAATTATTATATCATTTTGATTCTCACAACAGCCCTGGGAGGCAGGTGCTGTTATTATCCCCATTTTACAGGTGAGGAACTGAGGCAGACAGGCATTAAATGACTTGCCCAGGGTCACAGAGCTAGTAAGTGCCTGAGGTCAAATTTGAACTCAGCTTCCTGACTCCAGGCCTGTCTCTCCATATACTATGGCGCCACCTAGTGCCCATATAGGAGAAAGGGCTAGCCTTAGTAGTCAGAAGACTGAAGCAAATCTCTTCTCTGATACTTAGTAACTGTTAAAGATTTAGAGTTGGAAGGGAACTTAAAGGCCATTTCATCCAAGCAGTTCATTCTACACATAAAGAAACTGAGGCCCAAAGAAATGGAATGACTTGCCCGTGGTCACACAGGAAGTGACAGAGTCAGGATTTGAACTCAGTTCTTCTGATTTCATAGTACTGTGGGCAGGTCTCTCTGAGCCTGATTCCTCATCCAAAAAATAGGCATAGCACTATGTACATTACTTGACGAAGCTGCTGTGATAAAAGTGCTTTTTGTATAACGAGACATTACCTACATGTGAACTGTTCTCATTACCAACATATTCACCAATGAGCAACACTGCTGCCTCCCTGGGTGGATCGAAGTCTACACTGTTGTGTTGTGAAAGCTGTCCAATGCCATTCTATGTAAGGTGCTCTTTCTTCTCTCCTCCAGAGACTGCATCATGCTGTGCTGTCTGAACAGTGGCACCAGCTTCGTGGCTGGGTTTGCCATCTTCTCTGTCCTTGGCTTCATGGCGTATGAACAGGGGGTGCCCATCGCTGAGGTAGCGGAATCAGGTATGTTTGCCTAGAGGAGAAGAGAACCATTTGGGTTTTGTCTATTTGGCTCTTTATGTATTGATAAATTCTGTTTCAAGACATCATACACAAAGTGAAAATTAACATCCTCAACTAACATCTCCCAACCAGTGAAGCCAGAGGCAGCTAGAGGCACAGTGGCTAGAGTTCTGAACCTAGAGTCCAGAAGACCTGTGTTCAAATCCAGCTTCAGATATTTTCTGGCCAGAGGACCATGGGCAAACTGCTTAACCCCTCTCTGCCTCAGTTACTTCAAATATAAAAAGGAGATAATAATAGTATCTACCTCATACGTTGTGAGAATGAAATGAGATAGTATTGTTAAAGCACTTAGTACAGTGCCTAGCACACAGAAGGCATTTGATAAATGCTTACTCCCTTCCCCTTCCTCCCAAACAAAATAGGAAAAAAGTGGTAAAGACTGATCAGGCATGCTCCCTTATATCTTAGTAGGATGTCATCATCTATAAGAAAAGCCCAGTATAGGCAGCTAGGTGGCACAGTGGATAATATCAGACCTGTAGTCGGGAAGACCTGAGTTCAAATCTGGCCTTGACACTTACTAGTTGTGTGACCCTAGGCAAGTCATTTAACCCTGATTGCCTCTAAAAAACAAAAAATGTGTCTTTTAACTTTAACAAATTGATAATGACTAACATATATATGGCATATACACTATATAATGTATATATATACATATACACATTATATATATGCATAGATATATATATGTAGCATTTTAAAGTTGAGAAAGCATTTTACATACTTTACCCTATTGTGGTAAAATGAGTTGAATGTTAGACTTGGTCTGGAAGACCTGGGTTCAAATCCCACCTCTGACACTACCTGTATGACCTTGGGCAAGTCAATTAATCTCCCTGAGCCTCAGTTTCCTTATCTGTGAAATTCAGGGGATGGTAGCTGTAGTACCCTTTTCACAGGATCTTTGGGGGGCTTAAATGGGAAAATGTTTGTGAAGCATTTAGACCAACTTTGAAATGCTATACAAATAGTCAAGCATTGATTAAGCATTTACCATCTGCCGATTCTAAGCTCAAAGGAAAGCAAAACATCCCCTCTCTTGAGGACTTTATATTTAATGGGAAAGGCATCCTATAAATAACAGGTACAGGAAAGATACATGTGGAATAGACGGAAGGGAAAGGCTCTCACAGTTTTGTTTAGGTTTGATTTTTGTTATTTTACTTGGTCCAAGCCTCTGATTTCATTAGCAAAGAAAACTCCCAGTGAGGAAACCCTCCCCCAGTTTAGGTCAGGAAGTATTCTGTAACTTACAGTCTTAGAGAGTTGCCTGGGTGCCCTGAGATGTTAAGTGACTTGCCCAGGGTGACACAATCAGTGTATGACAGAGATGGGACAAGAAGCCTAATTTGTAGCTCACCGAATCCAAGATTCAGAGCCAGAAGGGACCTTGGCATTCAACTCCAATCCCCCCATTTTATAGATTAGGACACTGAAGTCTAGGGAGGTTAAGTGATTTATCCAGGGTGACAAAGCTGGTAAGTATCTGAAGCAGGATTCAAACCCAGGTCTTTCTGACTCTACCCACTACACTATGTTGTCTTTCACCAATTACCATCATTACCATCATCTTCACCATTGACACCTCTACCACTATCATCTGGTACAATGGTCCAACTCCCTCATTGGACTAAGGAAGAAGCTGAGGCCTGGAAAGAAGCCTCAGATCACATAGAGAGTTAGCAATAAGAGCTTGGATTAAAACCCCAGTCTCAAGGTGACATTCCATGCTCTCTTCACTCTACATCTCTGCCTTCTTCCTTTCCTCCTGTCCTGCACACAGTACATACATCTGGAAATGCCCAACAGCCAATCAGTCAGTCATTGAATTAAGCATGCACTATGTGCCAGGCACTGTGCTAAGTACTCAAGATACAAAGAAAAACAAAAAAATATTACAATCCCTGCTCTCAAGGGGCCCATGGTCTAATAGGAGGAGACAAACAGCTCTATGAAAACAAAAATATATATACAGGTTACGTTGGAGGGACTGGAGTTAATTACAGAGGGAAGGCAATCAATTAAGAAGTGAAGTGAGGGAGCTAGGTCTGGAGTGTTCCCCAAAGCACATGTCAGGAGCAAGAGATCTGTGCAAGCAGGAGACAAAAGCCTTGTGGGCATTCTCACCTCCAATGTTGCCAACCGCTCTTCTTCTCCCCACTGGGTGGCACCATGCTCCCAGCTGCCATGACATCATTTAGCTCAGTGTGAACAAGGAATTAACCCTCCTGGGTTTCACCCTCTACCCTCCATTTAAGAAAAGAAAATATAATCCTCTAGCCAAACAAAGTCATTTCATTCGGTTCGGCTCATTACACAGTTAAGAGACACATGCTGATGTACCTTTAGATTTTCAGATATTAGGAGCACATTCCAATTCAGCAGAGATTTTTTTTAAATTGTCATCTTGTTCCCTCCAGCTCTAAATTCTTTTATTCTAAGTGGATGATGAAGAAGTGCTAGCAAAGGGCAAAGATTTGATTAGGTGACCCCTAAGGTGTCTTCCAGCCTGAAGATGATAGGATTCCATGAATAGCCAGCCATGAGCAGAATTATAGTCATATTTACAGAAAGGACATTTAGTGCTAGAGCCCCTAGGTATAGTACTTCTCTCCATAGCTAACCTAGCAAGCTCCATCCCTGCTTTTCTGCCTTTCTTGTGCTGAGTTTGAGTTCATACTTTCTGCCACTTACTCCTGCACAATCCCTCCTTGCAAGATGGCGAGGAAGATGGGAATGCAAAGAAGACATTCCAAAATTCCACTCACTCTAAAGAAATTGACTAAAATTGGAATCTCCCCATCCCCCTAAAGGAAAAGGAAAAGAAATGAAATAATTACGAGCATAGATTTAGAGCTAGAAAAGATCTCATGATTATTTAGTCACAAAATCAGAGAATTTTAGAAATGCAAATATCCTTGGTAAGCAGCTAGGTGGCATAGTGGATAGGATGTTGGAGTTAGTAAGATCTGAATTTAAATCATACCTTCAGCACTTAACTAGCTGTGTGACCTTGGGCAAGTCACTTACCTTTTATGAGCCTCAGTTTTTGCATCTATAAAATAAGACTATCTCGCAGGGTTGTCATGAAGATCAAATGAGAGAATCTTAAATCTTGTAAACCTTAAAGTTTTATATAAATGTTATTATTATTAATTATTAGTATGATCCATACCAGAAAAAGAATCCCCTCTATAACATGCCCAACTGAGCTCCTTGAGAGCAGGGACTGTATTTTGTTTTTCTTTGTATCCCCAGCCCTTAGTACATTATCTGGCACATAGTAGGTGCTTAATAAATGCTAGCTGACTGCTCAAAGGCTCGAAGGGGAGGGAATCAATGGATTCCTTCCCAGGTAGGCCACTCCACTTTTGGATAACTTTAATTGTTAAGGAGTTTTACTTCATCAAGCCTAGTTCAACTACCTCATTTTACAGATGAAGAAACTGAGGGTCAGAAAGGCTTAGTAATTCATCCAAAATCCAATAGATAGATTGTAAGTGGCAGCTATAGGGATTTAATCCTCGATCTTCTGATGCTGGATCCAGGGCTCTTTCCATTGGGTCATACTGTATGTCCCTTCCCTCTAATCCATAACCATCACATCTTAACCTTCCACAAGGCACCAAGGAACTGGAAATGAAATCCAATCAATCATCTGGGAAGATAATTTCTAATAACACCCTCCTGACTTCCTCCTGTTCCTTCTCACTGTCAGCAGCTTTTCAAGAACTGCTTGGTGCCCCTAATGGGGACAAAGGGGGAAGCTCTAAGGAAGGCACTTGGGGGAGGGGGATGGACCACCTGACCATTTCTTTCCTTGTCTCCAGGGCCAGGACTAGCCTTTATTGCCTACCCCAAGGCAGTCACCATGATGCCCCTTTCTCCTCTGTGGGCTGCCTTGTTCTTCATGATGCTTATCTTCCTGGGACTGGACAGCCAGGTAAGAGACTCCTAATGAAGACTTGGTAGGAAGGTCTACAGTTCTCTCCATGGAGGAAATGGCCTCCTCCTTCTGCTTGAAGTTAGTGTCCAATTCGATTCATCTCAAATAATTTCAAAAGGCATTTGTCAAACAGTAAGGCATTGTGCTAAGCATTGGGGATACAAATACAGATTTGAAATATCCCTTGCCCTCAAGGAGTTTACATTCTACTGGGCTTGACCAGAACATAACTGTCTGCATATCATCTTTGCTTAGCATTCAAAATCCTCCCCCATGTGGCCCCACTTGCCTGAGGTTCTTATCTTCCTTTGTTCTCTGACATCCATCTTCCATTCCAGCCAGGCGTCCCTCCTCACTGTGCCCCAGACATTTTCCACTCTGATTTCTGGCTCTAAATGAATTACTTAACAAGTATTCATGAAGCGCATACCATGCGCCATATACTGATGCTGGAGATAACAGACAGAAATGAAATAATCTCTTCTTTTAAGGGACTTACCTTATATCAAGGGGCTTTTACCCATGCTGTTTTCTTCACTGGGAATAATCATTCTCCTAACCTTTGCTTATTCAAATCCTATCCATCTTTAAAGTTTATCTTAAATCTCACCTCTTCCTTGCAGCCTTCCTGGATTGCCCCACCCTCAATGGATTTCTTTTCTTTGTATTATTTTGGATTTTGGGGGGGGGGGTTTGTTTTCTTTTGTTTTGTTTTTTGGCGAGGCGATGGAGTTAAGTGACTTGCCCAGGGTCACACAGCTAGTGTCAAGTGTCTGGTCTGAGACCGGATTTGAACTCAGGTCCTCCTGACTCCAGGGCTGGTGCTCTATCCACTGCACCACCTAGCTGCCCCCTCTTGTATTGTTATAGAACTGTTTAGTGCATATAAATCTTGCATCCTCTAGTAAAGTGAAGGTTCCCCCAAGAATAGAGGCTTTATCTTATATTTCATCTGCATTTTCCTTCATGCCTAACACAAGACTGGGCACTCAGTAATTATCCAATGAACATTTGAATGAGTTAGGGAATGAATAGATGGAGTGAATATGTGAAGGGGATCTATGGGTAAGTGAATGAATGAATGCATATGAATCAATGTATCAGTGTGTGAGTGAATGTGAAGCCCAGAATAACCCTCTAGACAATCTCTTTTCTCAGGTGGCTCCCAAAATGCAATGCAGCTGCTCAAGACCTCAGCCAAACTCACATTCACTTTGTCTATTCCCTCTGCTTCCTTGTCCAAGCCCCAGAGCCTGCCACAGCTCCCAAGCTCCAGGCTCACACTCCCTCCTCCTCACCCTTTCCTTCCTTGATCTCAAGCAGGGCATGTCTTTAGCCAGATCAGTGACTTCCCTGCCATACTACGCCCCCCCCCCAAGCTCCCGGGCCAATATTCCAAGCCACCAATTAATCTACACCATCCTTGGCACCATTTTCTGATGCCCTGCATCTACCCCTCCCACCCCAGTGAAATTGCAGACCTACTTTCCGTTATTGGCCCTCCTCCCTTCTGTAGCAGCAGCAGCAGCAGCAGCAACAGCAATAGCATCAGGAGAAAGGGTCAGAATCTCTCCTGGAAGAATATTCCCAAATCTCCCCTTTCCCTCCTAGGTTCCATGAGGTCCTGGCAATGAATCCTCAGCCAGGGGATCTTTGCTAGGATTTCCCCAGGAGTGGAGTCAAAAACATTTGGAAGGGCCATCACTGTATTTGAGAATGATGTATTTGATTTGCTTGTCTGTTCTAGAACAGCTCCCACCTTAACTTCAAAGTCTCTGACCTCCAGGGCATCTCACCCTATCTTAAGTGGACCTTTCCCTAGCCCGTCTTTCTTCTTACCCATCAGCATAGCCACTTGCTTGTCAGGTCCAATTGCTCCTGCCTCTGTAGGATTCCTTGCATCCTTCCCCTCCTCTCCTAGACTACCACCCAAGTCCAAGCCCCTCAGGCCTAGACTAACAAGAGGACAGTGTGGTGCAGTGAAAAGAGAATTGGATTTGGACTCAGAGGACCTTGAATCCTGGTTCTGCTAGTACCACTTGTAGCATCTCTCACTTTGGGTGAGTTACTAATCCTTTCCAGGAGGCAATTTCCTTATCAATTAAAAGAGGGGGATGAGATGACCTCAAAGCTCTCTTTAAGGTCTGAATCTATGATCCTTCTACAAAAGACTCCTAACTGGAATCTCTGCTGTCTTCCCTTCTCCCCTCCATGCCGTATATCACACTCAGACTAATCTTCCTCAAATAATGCTTTCATCATGACCCTCCTCTGCTCACAGGCTTATGGTGGCTTTCTGCAGATTTCTCTCAAATCAAGCCCAATTTCTTTATCTTGGCATTCAAGGCCCTCCATAATCTGGACCTTGTATGTATAACCTTATCTCCTATTAATTCCCAGCACACAACCTCCTTTCCATCCATGTATGTGCATATGTTCATATGTCTATGTGGGGGGAGGGGAAGATTGTAAACTTAAAACCACATAAAATTCATAGGATCATAGATTTAGAGCCAGAGGAGACCTTAGTGGCCATCTGGTCCAACTGCCTCATTTCATAAACTGAGGTGAAGAGAGAGAGGTAGTGACTTGCCTAAGGTCATATGGATGGTAAGCAGCAGATCCGGAATTTGAGCCCAGACTACAAATCCAGTCCTTTGAGTGAGCTCCTAAAGGCCAGGGACTATGTTTTGCCTTTCTTTGTATCACCCCCAGTGCTTAGCACAGTGCCTGGCACGTAGTAGGTACTTCATAAATGCTTATTGACTGACTCACCTATCTTGCCCTGCTCCCTTTCCTTCATCAGAATGAAGAGACACAAATGCACGACCAGGAATTTAATCACGGCAGCTTATCACAGGCTCAATAAGTCTGCCATGATACCAAGGAATTTTAAAAAGCAAATCTCTCAATGCCTAGAATTACTGATTTTTGTTCCCCTGTTGGGAGGCCCCCAAAGCTGTGTGCATCAGCGGCTACCCCAGCCCGGCTCCTCCGTGACCTTACTCAAGTCACTTAACCTCAAAGCACCTTTCTTAGCATGGCCATAAATTCAGTCAACCAAATCCAATCTCTTCCCCAGAATTGGTTTCTCAGCAATCGTTACTAAGCTGCTGTGGTGAGGAACCACGTGTTTCTCCTGATAATCACTTTCTATTGTCCCAGGTCAAAGCTTTGTGAAGCTAGGGCTTGTCATCAGCAGAGTGACTACTGCAGACTGCAGGCTGGGCTGTCAGGCCCCCAGGGCTCCCCAGGAAGCTGAGCTCTGCATATGGTAGCGCCCCAGCCCCAGATGTTCTGTACCCTATAGAGTTGAACTCTACATATCATAGCACCCCAGGCATGCACAGTATGATAGGATCAGTGGCATGGGGGTTGCCAGAATCCCACTCTGCATTTCTAAAAGTCAGTAGTATGGATGCCGAGCAAGTCCAGAATCTGTACCATCCTCCACTTAGCAAGGGGAGAAATAATCAAACCACCACCAGGGATGTATCAAGCACCCCCTGAGTGTCCTGGACCTTGCTAGGTGCTATGAGGAACACAAGGAGGTATATGGGACAGAAGTATCCAGAAATAATGTGGTATGGTGGGAAGAGACCCAGATTTGGGATCAATGGACCCGAGTTCAAATCTTTCCTCTGTCTATGACTTGTGTGATTTAGGACAAGTAACTTTCCCCTCTCTGAGCCTCAGTTACCTTATCTAGAAAGTGGGTTGGACAAGATGATCTCTATGGTTGCTCCCAGCTTTTAAGTTAGTGGTTCTATGTTGGATCTACCTTCAAGGGGCTCACATTCCAGTCTATAAGACTAAGAGCAGAGCATAGAATAAGGCTTATGGAAAAACTACTAGGCATGAAGCTTAGAGGCTTGGATGTGAGCCCATGTTCCACCACTGACTCATGCTATGACTTTGGGTGAGTCCCTTCTGAACCTCCATATAATACCACCACCATCACTAACAATAACAGTGATAATAACCAGCATGATAGTACCAGGCACTACGCTGATTCTTTCACAATTGTCATTTTATTTGATTCACATAACAACCCTAGGAGGCAGGTGCAATTAATATTATTCCCATTTTATAGATGAGGAGACTGAGACTGATAGGGTTAAATGACTTGTCTAGGATCACACATCTAGCAAGTTTCTGAGGCCAGATTTGAATTCGGGAAGATGAGTCTTTCTGACTTCTGGCCAGGCACTCTATGCACCATGGCATCTTGCTGCCCTTAAATAGAATGCTTCTAAAGGGTGCTGTGGATAGAATGATAGATTCACAGTCCAGGTTCAAATGTCAACTCCACAACTTTCTTCCTGTGTATGACCTTGAGACTGTCATTTAACTTTTCTGGGCTTCAGTTTCCTGGTCAGTAAAATGGTGGGTTCATAGATACAGAGCTGAACAGGACTTCAGAGTTCATCTTGTTCAACCCCTCACCTTACAGATGAGGAAACTGAGGCCCATAAAAGTTAACCATCTTCTCCAAAGTCATCCAGGGAGTAAGCACTAGAGGTAAGACCTGAACCCAGACTGAGCCCTTTCCACTGTACCACAGCCTCCCAGATCTTCCCCACATCTAAGTCTGGAAACCTAAATGTGAATCAAGGGAAGTCATTTGTCCAAGATCACAAGATAATAAGTAGCAGAGACAAGATTTGAACCCAGGGCCATCTCACCCTAGGGGATCTTTGTCCCCCTTCCTAAGGTGTTAGAGGAGAATTCCTCTTCTTGGGGAGACGCTCTAATCAACAAACATTCATTGAGCACCAACTATGGCCAAGACTTTCAGCTCAGTTCTGAGATCACCATGTTTACATACAGCCAGAGTCCCACAGGCTGCAATGTTATGGGCTGTCTAACTAATACCATCCCTTCTCATTAGTTTGTGTGTGTGGAAAGCCTCGTGACAGCAGTGGTGGACATGTACCCAAAGACTTTTCGGCGGGGCTATCGGCGAGAATTGCTCATCCTGGCCCTGTCTATTGTCTCCTACTTCCTCGGTCTGGTCATGCTAACGGAGGTAAGAAACCTTTTGGTTTATTTTTATTGGTGCTACTTGCTTATCTTTTATATTTACATTGCCTTCATTTCCCAATATACCTCTCCCCTCTCACTACCTCATGAGCTATGCCTTAACAACAAAGAAGAATGAAGAAAGAAGAAGAAAAGGAAAAAAAAGAGCAGTTCAGAAAAGCTTATCAACACATTAACTAAGTCTGACAGTATGTATGTAGTATGTAACACCCATAGTCCCTATCTTCACCAAGAGGAGATGGAGGTTGAGCTCTTCAGTTTGGAGTGCGCAGTAGAGCTATGTGATCTGGAAAGTGGACTGGCTACCATTTCTACATGGGAACAGCCTTACCCATCATGAAATTTGCTTTGGAAGAACACTACCCCAATCAATTCTTGGGTGTGGGGGAGGGTTATGTGTGTGTGGGTGTGAGGCCAGACTTCCCTATAGCCCCATGAAACTATATAGGGATTTCTTGGCAGCCCAACATTTCCATAAAGCCAAAGGGACCTACCAGACAGGCCAGGTTGGACTGTAGGCTGCCCACCTGCTTTATTATATCTTTCATTCTCTGAATTTAGGCTTCTGGGCACATGTGTCCCACACCCCTGCGTGCCAATAAAAATTTGAATTCGACATTTATTAAGTAGAAGTCCAGGAATGGATAAAGAGCTAGCCTCAGAGTCATGAAGACATGAATTCAAGTCCCATCTCTTACATCTTCTCATTATTATCATGGATAGCATTATCATACTATAGCTAGGCAATATATTAAGCACTTTACACACATTATCTCATTTAATCCTAACAACAACCTTGGGAATTAGGTGTCATTATCATCTCCATTCTACAGTCAAGCAAATGGAAGTAACTAGAGGTTAAGTGACCTGCCAAAGATCACACAGCTAGTAAGTATCTGAAACAGAATTTGAACTCAAGTCTTCCTGACTCCAGATCCAGCACTCTATCCACTGCAACAACTTCTTGTTGTTCAATCATTTCTGTCATCTCCAACTGTGACCCCATTTGGGGTTTTCTTGACAGAGATACTAGAGTGGTTTGTCATTTCCCTCTCCAGCTCATTTTACAGATGAGGAAACTGAGGCAAACAAGGTTAAATACTTGCCCAGGGTCACACAGCTACTGAGTATCTAAGGCCAGATTTGAACTCAGGAAGATGTCTTCCTGACTCTAGGGCTGATACTCTATTCACGGTGTCACTTAACTGCCCCATATAAGAATAAGGAACACAGTGAAGCTTTAGCTTCTTAATGCACCAGACAACTCTCTAAAAACCTAAGTTACAGACCAGTAGCTCATCTGCAATGGTCAGGGGGCTTCTCCACTGGGAATTCCGTATGCCAATGATATCACAATTCCATATGCCAATGATATCACAACGATATCACAAACATGTAAGGGGATAAATGTGTAGCTGATATGGGTATGAAGAAATAAATGAAGCAGTTTCTAACCTCAAAAACTTATATTCTACTAGGGTGGGAGGGAGGGTAGACAGAAAAGTAAAAACTATGCAAGAAAAGTAGAGGAGAAAGGATACCCAACAACTAGGGGGAGCAGGAATGGTTTCCCAAGGAAGCTTGCAGATGAGCTAAGCCTTGAAAGAATTTAAGTCATTTTGGATGCCCACCTGATACAATAAAAGACAACATAGTATGGCAGAAAGAGAATACATCTGTAGTGAGGATTTGGATACAAATCCCAGCTCTCCTGTTGTTACCAGGCTGAGCTTGGACAAGTGACTTCTCTTGGTGTCTCATTTTTATTGTCTGTAAAATGAATTGGTTGGACTTGATAATCTCTAAGGTCTCACTCCTGTGGTGCTCTAAGGCCCCTTCTGGCTTATCCTGGCTCCCAAGTACAAACAGGAGACCTTCAGAAGAAAGCCAATTGCTTCTGGGGATGTGCAGTACAGACATACTTACCTCTATCCTTCTTTTCCTTTTACCTTAACTCTTCCTGTCCCCTTCCCTCACCTCAAAGAGAAAGACTGAGCCCTTTGAATTGCTATAGAATCAAAATTCTCCCTACCCAGCCATTATTAGAGCCCTCAAATTGAATATTTTTCTGAATCCAAAGGAAAGAAAGCCCTTTAGATTAACTGAAACTTTAGAAGCCTCCCTGTTCTTTACCTGAGCCAATGGGATCAGGGCTGGGAAAGTAGGTCCTCCCAAACAGTTGGGCCCAATGGCAAATGGTAAAGACAACCAACCTTTCCATGAAATTCATGAATATTTTGAAGTGTACATATTCTTCTCCTACTCTATGGCTAGATCAGAGGCGTTTAGCCCTACCTATTAACAATGGAAACTGTCTTACCAGGAAACTAAGTACATTTTGTACAATAGGGCTTCTTCACAAAGTAGGGTGGAAAGGCAAGGCAGGAGAGGGCAAAATAAGAACAAAGAAGCAATAGTTCAGAATTCATGAAGATAAATAATATGTAATAAGGCTGCAACCAGATAATGCATAATTAGGCTGGAATGAGATAGTGGGTGGTCCTAAATAATTGTCCATAGGAGGCAGCTAGGTGGCTCAGTAGATAGAGCTCACTGGATGAGTCACTTAACTCTGTTTGCCTCAGTTTCCTCAATTGTAAAATGAGCTGGAACAGGAAGTGGCAAACCACTCCAGTACCTTTGTCAAGAAAACCCCAAATAGGAACATTAAGAGTGGGACACAACTGAAATGAGTGAACAGCCTGTTAATAGGGAGCCAGCCAAAGTTAATGAGGAAGGAAGGAACATGGTCTCATCGCTTCAAAAATCAGTATAACTCAAGCTGATACCAGTCACCTTCCCAGTCCACAACAGACAGCCTCTTTCTTTACACTCTGATCCCACTGGATTCTGTCTGTAGCATCAACTATAATGGACTGAAAACGTAAGGTATATTGTCTCCCTTGGGTAGCACAAAAAATAAGGTGTCGTGGTGAGATTTTTGGATGTCAAGCTCAGATCTGCAGGTGCTCCCACTCACTCCTCACTTGTCAAGCTCTTGTTTCAGGTGAGGGGGTGAAATAGTTCTGCTCCGTGGTTCACCAAGATAACTAGAATGAAAATATTCTTAAAAAGCAGATTTGCTCTTCCCCTTGTCTTCTCCCCACCTTGGATACTCAGCTTTCCTTTATCAACAACAGTCTTAAAATTCTCTTGAAAGGGATGAGTTTGAGCATTCTCCTACTCTCTTAACTGTCGTTAATAGAAATAGAGAAAGATTTCTTCTCTTAAACCTAGAAAAAGAACCTCAGTGGAGCTAAGGTTATCAGAGAAAACATTTTCAGCCTGCTTGGCTGATAACACCCCGGGGATAGTGTGTTTCGTTTCCTCCACATCGTCATTCTGCCTGCATTTAAAGAGAATTTGTTAAATTCTGATTGCAGAAGAAGAGGACTTTATGGCATGCAAATTGACAGTTAAGCTTGAGAGCTAAAAGAAGCTGTGCATCAAAGCTATGTCAAGAGTGAATATTTTGACTGGTATGCAAGGTCAAAAGGCAGCAGAAGTCGCTTGGACTCACTAATCTCCAAAATCTCTTCCAATCCTCAAGATTCCAGGATTCTTGTAATAAATATTTTTAAATGTTTGTTGAATTGAATTTGAATCCAGTGTTCAGCTTTCTGTAAATAGCCTGATATGGATTCTACGACTCAGAACACTGCTAGCCAGGGGCAGGTATTAGCCATGCAGAGGAGTCATGATGATGCTTACAACTGATAGACTGTCTTGAACATATCCTCGAAACAACCCCATCTGAGGTTAATTTCATTCCCCTTTATAATAAGATACTGGTATCATTAGTATTTCCTTAAAAGGGAAATTAAAAATGGAGACTCAAAAAAGGGAAATGACTAGCCCAAGGTCAAATGACTGGTAATTCAATTAAACAGTTCATCAAACATGACAAGTTTCTCCTATTTACAATAATAATAGATAACATTTATATAGCATTAACTATGTGCCAGACACTACTAAGTGCTTTATAATTAATATCTGATTTGATCCTCACAATAACTCTGGGAGGTAGTGCTTTAATTACCCTCATTTTACAGATGATGATGATGACGATGACGACGACGACGATGATGATGATGATGATGATGATGATAGCAGCTAACATTAAATAGCACTTACTATGTGCCAGGCACTGTGCTAAGTGCTTTGCAATTATTACTGCATTTGATCTCACAACAACCATGGGAAGTAGGTACTATTATTATCATTCCCATTTTACAGGTGAGGAAATGGAGGCAAACAAAGGTTAAAGTGACTTGTCCAAGGGTGTACAGCCAGTAAGTGGATGAGAATAGATTCGTTCCTAACTCCAGGCCCAGTTCTCTCTCTACTGAACCAGATAGCTACCCAAGATACTCAATTATGTGCAGGAGAAACAACAAAGAAAATGAAAACGTTCCTAACACTCTACTCAGGGACACACAACATGTAGACAAAAGAGTAAATATGAAGTAAATACAAAATGATATGAAATAACTTCAAGAGGAAGAGCATATTAACTGGGGGAATCAGCAAAAGCTTCCTGTAGGAAGTGGCACCTGAGCTGTGTCTTGAAGGAAGCTAGGGATCACAAGAAGTGGAAACGATGAAAGAGTGAATTTCAGTCATGAGGGAGTCACATGTGAAAAAGCCTGGAGGTGGCAGATAGAGATGGCAGGATCCTGGTTATGAACCTAATTCTTCTAACTATAAGGCCATTGCCCTTAACTTTATAACATATCGTCTAGCAGGAATGAATAATTACACCTAGTAAGAGGCTTGAGGACATTAATCACTAGCCCTTCAACGTCTTAATTATTGGGAGGTGTGATTAGGTGACAGCCTTTGATACCAACCATCCTGTCCTCTAACAAAACAGCAACCCTGGATTGGTCCTTCCAGATGGGAGAATTGCCTAAATCACTAATTCACCTCCTGCTATTAGAATAATTATGGACTTCATTCTCCCTAGCTTTTGCCATTTTTAAAAACCCAACTCAATTGAGAAAGGGGATGGAATCTCAGAATATTAATCCCCTGCTATTTTTTCCTAAGAAAAATTCTATGGCTTGACCATTTAGTAGTCATCATTTCATTTTCTATATGAATGACCTTTGATTATTTCAAAGGCGGCGGAAGAGAAGCCATTCATTGAGTCTAATTCAAGCAAACGCACCATTTTGCTTTGAATGCTCATCCTTCTCAAACTTGGTGTCTAACAATTTTTCCTCTCACCCATTTCCAGTGACTTGAGGCAAATGACAAGTACTTTTTAAAGCACCTTCTATTCAAAGTCTACACTATGCTTAACAGATATAGAAATAGAACACTGTGGTTCCTGTTCTCAAAGAACTTAGAATCTACCTGAAAACACAAGACTTGTTCCATGAAATTAGCTATGAATACCACCAACTTGACTAGAATTGACTAGATAAGCTGTGTGTTACCAATCATAACTACTGGTGGGATCTCAGAGGGTCGAGAGATGGAACCATTAACATGGGATCTCCCATGGAATGGACTGCAGCTTATGGCCAGGTGAGATCCAAATGGAGTGATCAGCCAAAAAAAAGTCAGAGTCAAAGTGACTAAGGTACAGGAGATGCAAAGACAAAATCAAAACCCCCAAACAGTTTTTGCCCTCAAGGAGCTCCCATCCAGCAAAAGAAATAAACAAGGAATAGAGAGATAGGGGAAAACCTAGGAGGATCATGGGAAGATTATCTAGGAGAGGATGATGGTCAATTCTCAAAAACAACAGAGATGTCAATATGGAGGAGGACTGAGAAAAGCCCATCAGACTTAACACCTCAAAGATCATTGTTAACCTTGAAAAAAAACCAGTTTCAGTTGAGTGGTGAAGTCAGAGAACTGAATGGTGGGAGGCAAAGAAGTAAATGCAAGGAGGGTACCTCTATCTTTCTAGTCACCCAGTAGGCTTACATCCTTGATGGCATACTCACTCTCCACCACCCCCAATATTCAGTGAGTCGCCCCAGTGTTACCTCTCTAATCCATCTTCTTTTTTCCACTTAAATTCAAGACCTCATTACCTCTCATCTAGACTATTGAAATAGTTCATAAGATCCTGGGCTTATAAATATTGAGCTGGAAGAGACATCAAAAGTCCTTCAGTTCAAACCTTCCACTTTATTGATAAGGAAACTGAGACCAAGGGATATGAAGGGATTTGCCTAAACTCGCACAAATAACAGGTATCAGAAGTGTGGTTTGATTTTGGGTCTTCTGGCTCCAGAGAGGACACTATTGTCGTTGTACTCTCGCTTTCCATTGTGTCTCTCCACTCCAATCTATCCACATAGCTACCAGGGTGATATTCCTAAGTTTCAAGTTTCTGACCATGTTACTCCCCTATTCAATAAACTCCAGCGGCTCCCTAACATTTCTAGGATCAAATACAAACACATCTATTGGGCATTCAAAGCTCTTCCCAAACTGGTCCTGACTCACCCTCTCAGTTTTGTTCCGGATTCCATTACTATACTCCATGTACTCTCTGGTCCAGCCAAAATGACTTCTTAAGGTTCCTTACATGTGACACTGCTCCTCATCTCTATACTTTATACTATCTGTTCTTCACACCTGGATTGCATTCCTGCCTCCATGAGTTAGAATCCTTAGCTTCCTTTAAAATTCAGCTCAAAGGCTACCTTCTACATGCAGCCCTTTGGTGATCCCCTAGCTGCCAGAACTTATCCCCAAAATTACCTTGTATCTATTTGGTGTATACCCATACATATAGTATAAACTTTCTTCCCCATTAGAATGTAAATACCTTAAGGAGGGGCACTTGATATATTTTCATCTATTTCCCCGAGCACCTTGAGCAATGCCTGACCCTAGTAGATGCTTAATAAATACCTATTGATTGAGTGATTAAATGAGTATGGATGGTTTTTTCTCAGACTTTGTGAAAATGTTTGGGAAAGTATAAAATAATAGTTTTAGAAGATGATAGGGTAAATTGAAAAAATATTAAAGATAAAGAGACTTTTACATGGTTGAAGGTAGCAGGAATAGAGTCAATAGATACAGAAAAATTAAAATTAAAAGAGAGAAACATTGGAAGAGATAATCAAAGTAGTAGGCTCCTTTAAGAGATGTGAAGGAGAGGGATCGAGGATACAAGCAGAGAGGATGACCTTGTCAAGGAACAGGTCCATACCTCTCTTAGAGACTAGAACAAAGGAAGCTAAAATAGGGAATGATGTCAAGGCCTTTGAGGTATTTTTTAAATAAGAAAGAAATTGAGGCTCAGAAGAGTGAAAATAACTTTCCCAATGTCACACAACTTGTTAAAAAATGGAACCAGTATGAAAATATTCGTATGAATGATTAATAGTCAAGTGAGCTGAACTAGGAGAGCAATATGCAGTAACAACATTGGAAAGGAAACCTTTGAAGGACTTAAGAACTCTGAGCAACCTGGTGACCAAATACTTTTCTAGTTGACTGATAGCGAAGCACACTCCCCACCTCCCAAAGAGGTGATCGATGAAACTTGCTGCAAACATACATTTTCTGACATGACCAATGTGGGAATGTGTTTTGCTTGGCTGTGCATATTTGCTACTAGGTGTTCTGTTGTTAGTGTTGTTTCAATTTAAGGGTGAATGAGAGTGGGAAGGAGAGAGAGGTCGAGGACTGGGATAGCAAAAAAAAAAGAAGGAAAGAAAGGAAGAAAAAAGAAAGAGAAAAAGGAAGAAAAGGAGAGAGAGAGAAAGGAAGGAAGGAAGGAAGAGATTTGAAGCATTTTTTTAAACTTTCATAGAAGAAAGTACAGAAAGAAACACAAACAAGAAACCTCAAAGATTACAAGCGATACAGTGGGAAGTTGGATGAATTTGGTGTTAGAGGACCTCAGTTCATAATCCTGCTGCTTCTCCTTAATGCCAGTGTTACATTGGGGAAGTCGCTTAACACTTTCTATGGTTCAATTTCCTTATCTGTATAATGAGAGGTTGGACTAGATGGTCTGTAACATCCCTTCCAGTGCTGAATCTTTAATCTGTGCTGAATTTATATATTTTAAAGGAAAAGAAATTCTATATAATGAAGATTTGTAGTTTCATACACAACTCTCTTTTTCTATTTTACTTTGCATATGAAAATACAAGTTAAAAAAGCATTCTTTTTTAAAAAAGAAAGAAAGAGAGGCAGAAGTCTCTACTGACTCTTTAGACTCGTAGCCATAAATCCATAAAATGTCAGAACCAGAAAGGATCTCAGAAGCCATGTAATCTAAAACCCTTAGTTTATAGGGGGTGGAGCTGGGGCTCAGAGAGGGAAAGTGATTTTCCCAAGGTCATGTAGCCATTAAAGCCTTATAGCCCTCTAGGAATGGCCCTACTATCTTAAGTCATGCATCTCTTCTCTCCACCCTTTCCCCCTAACACCCTTATCCTATTGTAAAGAAATTACCCTTCCCTACAATTGAAGGCAATTTTCTTGGAGCCTCCAAAGGTTAAAGCTTAAAGGTCTTTAAAAATCATCCAAGCTAAACCTCTTATTTTAATGATGGGGAAGCTCTGACCCAGAGAAGAGGAAGTCACTTTCTCAAGGTTAGAGTCAGTGGCAGAGTCAGATCTCCTCGCTGTATGTGGTTATCACTGTTCATGTAACATACCCGGATCTTATTAGCTAGAAGAGCATTCGGGTGAACTCACTTTTTTAGGGTGGTAAGGAATATGAACCAGCCTCGACCTGGGGAGGAAAAGGAGCCTTCCTAATTCAGAAGACTAATGGTGCCTGGATGCCAGACTGACCTCAGAAGTTGGCAAGAAGGGTCAGAGGAGCTTTGAACCTTTGAACTAGAACAGAGGAAACTTTGAACTAGAAAATGAAGAATTGATTTTAGTTAGGTCAGGGAGGAGAGTCTTTACCCTGAGGTAATAGGAAGGTTAGTACAATAAGGCAAAAAGACCCAGAATCAGAAGCTCACACAACTAATTGATTTGGGATACAAGCCCAGATCCTGACTCCAAGTCAAAAAATTATCCCAAGGCACAGCCTCATTCCTAAAAGATCCATGCTGATGAGTAGATCAGTCATTGCGGTCAACATGAGAGCTGCTCCTGAGCTTCAGTGCAGACTAAGCCATCTCTGCCATACTAATTCTGCCCCACTGTCTCTCCATCTGCCTGTGTTGTAGGGTGGCATGTATATCTTCCAGCTGTTTGACTCCTATGCAGCCAGCGGGATGTGCCTTCTCTTTGTCGCTATCTTTGAATGTGTCTGCATTGGCTGGGTTTATGGTGAGTATCAGCCTGCTCCAGTCCCCACTGCCATTTGCCATGAAATCTCTTCCCCTATGCCAGCTGCTACCCATAACACCTCTTCCCTGGAGTCAGTAGAAAGCACAGGATCTTTGTTCTATCCAGCCAACGCTTGATATGACTGCAGCTGGGCAGGAGCCCAAGCACTAGGCCTGGCAGGATCTGCTGTTTTGTTCTCTGTGACTACAACATTCTAGGCCTTGTCCCTTTATCTCTCTGGCTTTCATCACCCTCATCCACTCCAACTCATGCACAGATTTCATAGTTCTTAGATTCGGAACTGCAAAAGACTTCAAAAGTTATACAGTACCACCCCTAATTTTACAAACAAATAAAGAAACTGAGGTGCAAGAAAGTTGTGACTTTCCCAAAGTCATATAAGTAGTAAGTGGCAAAGGAAAAATTTGAACTCAGGTCCTCAGACTCCAACACCAGTGTCCTTTCCACTACATCATGAAGAATTATTACTTTTCATGGCTGTTAAGTATTCTTCCTAGTATCTAACCAAGATCCCTATAGTAGTTTAAATGAGAGGCAGTGTGGTATGTTGGATAGAACATGAGCCAGGGAAGACCTGAGTTCAAATCCTATCTTTAATACTTACTTGGTATGTGATCATGGGCAAGCCTTTAACTTCTCTGTGACTCAGTTTCTTCATCTGTGAAATTAAGAGGTTGGACTCAATAACCTCTAAGGTCTCTTCCAGCTCTAAATTTATAATCCTAGGACACCTGAGTATTTTTCTCTCTTTCTATCCTCAATGGGAGCAGGGAATGCTCACTCATATGGCCCCCCCATGCAAAGATATGCCAGTAAATATATCTGCCCTCAGTCTTCTTTTCCCCTGGCTAAGAGCCCAGTTCCTTTGGCTTTTCCATATAGTCCTTGTAGACCGATATTGAAATTTTTCATTGTGTCTTTTGTGCATGAGGGAGAGTGAGGATATATATATAGTGGATAAAGCCCTTTACTTGGGCTCAGCATGACCTGTATTCTAACACGACTTCAGATACTTTACTAGCTGTGTGATCCCAGGCAAGCCACATAATCTCTCATCCTCAGTTTCCTCATCCCTATAAAATAAGAATAATAATAGCATCTTCCTTGCAGAGTCCTTGTGAGAATAAAATGAAATAGCCATATATAAAGTGCTTTGCAAACCATAAAACACTATAGAAATGTTAGTTGTTATTATTATAATTTGCATTATTTCTGTACAGGAAGCAATCGTTTTTATGACAACATTGAAGACATGATTGGCTACAAACCACTATCCCTAATAAAGTGGTGCTGGAAGGTGGTGACCCCAGGCATCTGTGCAGTGAGTATTCCCTCATCAGCCAGCCTCCCTCTGCCTCATAGTTCTAAAACCCTGAGACAATGAATGGCACATTCTTTTCAGAGAAAAGGTTCGTAGCATCTGGGACTATCCTGGGTGGTTCCTTTCTCAACCAGAAAGATTGTGCTAGAATCAGATTTGGACCATTCCTGCCCTCATTGAGCATGCAGTACAGTAGAGATAGAGAGCACACACACATACAAATGCACACACACATACAAATACACAGACACACACATACACAACTATAGTACAAAATAACACAGCTGCTTCATAGGGGTGAGAGCTAAGCATCATGTGAATTTAGAGGAGGGGAAGATCATTTCTGACTGTTAGGATTAGAGAAGGCTTCTAGGAGGAGGTGGCATTTGAGTCATGCCTTATCACCACCTGGAAGAGATCCTAGGAAGAAAACTGACAGGAATGTCATTGTCAAGTTTCCAAATTCCCAGGTTAAAGAGAGAGTATTGTAAGCAACAAGAAAAACAAAGAAAGTTAATACTCTGGGAAAACATTCAGGACTTCACAAGACCTAGCAGCTTCTACACTAAAGGACAGGAGGTCTTGGAACATTATATTTCAAAGAGCAAAGGAGCTGTGTTGCATTGAAGAATAACTTATCCAACAAAGTTGAGTATAATCCTGAATGAACAAAGAAATGGACATTTGAAGGATGGGTAGGAATGCAATGGGTAAAGAGGCAAAGTGAGGGAAAGCATGCCTGAAAATGTGGCTGACCAAGCAGGATGAGCAAAGAGTTCTGGCTGCATGTTCTCCAATGGATGCTTGCTTACAAAAGCCATTTCAGTCCCTACACATCAATCAATCAACAAATATTAGGCATTATGTGTTAGACACTGTGGATAAAGTACAAAGAATGAAACAGTCCCTACCAGCAATGACTTTACATTCATTGGGAGATAACTATGTAAAAAGTACATAAAGTTTATAAATATATGCATATATGTGTATACATCATCTATGTGCCAGGGCTGTGTGGGACCCTCATGATGCACCCCTCTCTAAGCTAGGATTTCCTTGTGGGGAAGCATCCTTGGGTCTCGCCTAGAGATGAGTGCTCCTAAAGTGATTTCCATCCTAGTGACCAGGCTGCTCTTCCATCTTTCAGGGAATCTTCATCTTCTTCCTGGTGAAATACAAACCCCTCAAGTACAACAACGTGTACACATACCCCAACTGGGGCTATGGGATTGGGTGGATGATGGCGCTCTCCTCCATGGTCTGCATTCCACTTTGGATTGTCCTCAAGATGTGGAAGATTGAGGGGACACTCCTGGAGGTGAGTGATAATTGGGCCCTACCACCCAGCCATGGAAAAGGGAGATCGGCCAGCTGGAGAAGTGAGAAAAAGAGCACACATGGAAGAAAAGGCTTTCAAACTGCGCTCTTTCTGGTAGTCATGGTTCCAAGGTATATACGTATTGATACTGGGAGCTAGCATTTATATAACACTTGCCATGTGCCAGGCACTGTGTTAAGCACTTTTTACGAATATTATCTCCTTTGATCCTCATAACAATTCTTTGACATAGGTGCTATTATTATTCTAATTTTACAGTTGAGGAAATTGAGGCAAACAGAGGCTAAGTGACTTGCCCAGGGTAAACAGCTAACAAACTTACACAGTTTGTAAGTGTCTGAGGTCAGGTTTGAACTCAGGTCTTCCTGACTTCAAGATGAAAAGAATAATTGATCATATGTATTTAGCCCCTTACTATTTACAGATTGCTTTGGTCATGACAGTTCTTTGAGGAAGGCAGGGGATGCATTATCTTTTCATTTTACAGATAATAATAATAATAAGATAGTGTGCTGTAGTGGAAAAATATCTGGCTTTGGACCATAACATTTGAACCAAAAGGCATCATGGCATAGTAGATAGTAGATGAGCTTCAAATTCAGGGAGACCTGTGTTCAAAACTTGCTTCTGATACACACTTCCTGTGTGACTCAGGGCAACTTACTTAATCTCTCAGTACTCCAGGTAGCTCTTCAAAACTACAAGTTGCAGAACAGAGGTCAATTTGCATTCCTAGAGAGAGTTTCCTCACTGGGAATTCCCCATATGGATGAAATCTGAGATGTAGCCATATACTGTATGTATGCATGTGTACGTGTATATGTATATGTGTGTATACACACACAAATACACACACACACATATGTGTGTATATGGCTAGACCTCAGATATATATGTATGTATGTGCAGATATGTATATATAGGTATACATGTGTGTGATATGTGTGTATTATATGTGTATATATGCATATATACGTGTGTGTACATCTGCCTGTCTATCTAGCTATTATATATTTACACACATGTATGTATGAACATATGTGTATGTATGTTGTGTGGTTGTATATAATTATTTTAGGTCCACTCCTATAATTTCATTGGGTGGCAGGGGCTCCTGTTGTGAAAACTCCTTCCTCCATTTGAAATTGATAACTGATGGATAGCTTGTCTATAGTTCATACTCTTCAAGGGTGACCTGGGGCTACTAGCAAAAAAAAAAATAGAAAAACTAGATCAATGGAACAGGCTAGACAAGGACGAATCAGAAGTAATCGAACTTAATAACCTAGTGGTTGGTCAACCTGAAAACATAAAATACCTAGGAAAGAGCTCACTACTTGACAAGAACTGCTAGAAAACCTGAGAAGCAGTCTGGGAGAAAATAGGTTTGGTGCTATATTTCTAACCTATTGCACTTATTTGTATTTATTTATATAATAAATTCAAAATGGATGAAAGATCACGCTTTTAAAAAAAATTAAAAGAGAAGCACATCATATGTCTTTCACAGCTATATGTGTAGAGGACAAATTATTAACCAAATGAGATAGAAACAATTACAAAAGGTAAAATAAATAATTTTTATTACATGAAATTGAAAAACCTTTGCACAAACAAAATTAATTCATCTAGGAATGAATGAAAGGAAACAGTCAACTGGGGAGGGGGGAATGTTTTGTATCAAATAGCATTGAAAATGGTGTAATAGCCAAGAAATATAGAAAATTAACAAAAGTATATAGAAACAAAAGTGATTCCCCAATAAAGAAATATTAAAGGATATGAATCCATAATTCTTAAAAGAAGAATAGAAATTAACAGCCATATGAAACAATGTTCCAGGTCAGTGATAACAAAAGAAATGCAATTCAAAACAATTCCAAGGTTTGGATGTACACCCAGCAAGCTGGCAAAGATGATCAAAAATAGAAATAGTCAATGTTAGAGGAGTTGTGGAAAGATGGTCAAGCTAATTCATTGTTGGTGGAGTTGTGAATCATTATGATAATTCTGGAAAACAATTTGGAATTATGAGAATAGAGTGACTAAAATGTTTATCCCCTTTGACCCAGAGATTACACTGTTAGGCATATGTTCCAAGAGAGACATTGAAAAAAAAGAAAGGCTCCATATGTATCAAAATATTTATAGCAACTCTTTTCATGGTGGTAAAAGAAAAATAAAGAAGCAAATAGAAAAATGACTAAACACATTGTGCTACATGAATGTAATGCTGTAAGAAACAATAAACAGGAAATATACAGAGAAATATGGAAAAATATATGAAGTGATGCAAACTGAAGTAAGTAGGGCCAAGAAAATAGTATACACAATACTACATCAATTTAAATGGAGATTGAATTTTGGAAATTGTAAAGAGCCAACTTGCTCCAAAAGAAGAGAGATGAGTAGACATGTCCCCAAAGTCCTTTTCAGAGGTGAGGAGTTCAATCCTATGGTCAGTCCATAGGATTTAGGAAGATTATTTTGGCAGCTCAGTGGAGAGTGAATTGGAGAATGGGATGGAGGGTTTGCAGAAAAACCAATGAGAAGGTCATTGAAATAACTCACTCAAGAGGTGAGGAAGGTGTGAACTTAGGTCATGGTGAGGAGGAAGAAGAGAAAAGTGGAACTTAAGTGAGGAATATGGTTTGTTTCTTTAAAATTGTTTTCTTTGCATTTGGAACTTAGAGTAGAGGTCTTTAAGCTGAAATGTGGATCCCTAGAATCACTGAGAATATCTGGTCTTGAAGAGGACTCAGCACTGACATAACTGCTATTTTCCTGGGGGTAGGACAGCTGCCACACTCGTGAGTGTCTCCTTACAGAAAGCACAGTCCATTGGCCTGCCACAGGGCCTCAGGCCAGTTGGAAAAATGACCTTCTCTTCATGCCTCCTTTCTGTGAGGATTGTGGTTATTTCTGGAGCTAAGAGCCCTGCAGCACTGAAGGTTCTCTTACTTGTGAAGAGATTGTTGGTCACCAGGTTGTTTTGTTAACACTCTGGGATGTCATGCCAGCTTATATCTTCAGTGGAAACCTTCACTTGAAGCCTTATCACCTTCCCCGCTGAGAAAATACCCCAAGGTTCCCACTGGGATGTCGAGGTTCAGAAATATTGACAGATGCAACTTTCTCTGAAGATGACTTTAGGCTCAAGAATTTAGGATTAGTAGGGGAGGAAGAATAGAGACTCTTTGCTAAACCACCAAGTGACTTCCCAAGGCAAAAACCTATCTTAAAACATAATTAGAAAAGGGACCTTATCTCCCCAGATCTTAGTTTTCTTATGTGTAAAATAAAAGATTTGGTCTAAGTGGCCTCTAAATTTCCTTCAGTTCTGAAGTCCTATCTTGGAATAATAATTATTATTATAATTATTAAAATTTAAGTTTTGCAAAACACTTTCCAAATATTATCTCATTTTATCTACCTACCCTGAGTAGTAGGTGCTGTTCTTGTCCTCATTTTACAGATGATGAAACTAAGGCAAAAAGAGGTTAAGTGACTTACCTCTTAGTCATAGTCATAGTCAGTAAATGGCCAAAGTGGGATTTGAATTCAGGTCTTCCTGACTCCAGGTCCAGAACCCTCTGATCTGTGTCACCTAACTGCCCGGTTGACTTAGACTGCTTGTCTAAAGATCAATTACATTCTTAGGGTGACAGTCCCCATATTTAAGAAGCACAGCAGTGGTTTAAGGAAGAGGATGACTGGGAGATTTTAGAGGTGACATTAGAAGGGGATCCCAAAGAAGAGGCCCAAGGACTGGACTACATATTAGATCTAGGTTCTATCCACTAACTCACCATATGATCTTGGGTAATCCCTTCTCTGGGATTTACTTAAAGGGTGGGAGTGCCAGACCTGGCACAGGCTGGACAGACAGGCGGGGCAAGAGTACAGGAACATCCTTACCCAGCTCTTGTCTTCTTCCATCACACAGAAATTCAGGAAGCTGATAGTGCCCAGCCCAGACCTGAAGATGAGAGGGAAGCTTGGAGCCAGCCCACGAACGGTTACTCTAAATGACTGTGATGCCAAACTCAAAGGGGATGGAAACATTTCTGCCATCACAGAAAAGGAGACACATTTCTGAGAGACCTCTCTTCGACTGGGATTTTTTTTATAAATGAAGAAATAAACTACTTCACTTAATTATAGGAGTTCGCTTGTTTTGCACAAAAATTATTAACAAGTTAATTTTAAAGTGAACACTGTATACTTGCTTAAAAGTCATTATTTTTTAATTATTATGTAAGTAACAGTCACAAAGAGATAATATTGTATGGGATGCTAGCAAAAATTTCTTGTAATGTGGTGATTTCAATTGTCATTTTATGGGAATTAGGAAGGTCTGTAAAATGTACTGTCAACCTTTTATACTTGGGTCTTGGGGATGGGGTGGCATTGAACATTCTGCTTCTAATCCATTTCCACAGACCATTGTGGACCAATTCCTTTCCAATGTATGTCTATAAAGGGGACTCCTGTTTCCTTCTCTCTACGCTGGAGGAAAGCTTCCACTCAGTTCTTGCCAACTTCGTTTGAGCCCCAGCCTCCAGATCATAGAATTTAGAACTTGAAAGAATTTAGATACAAGCCTCTCATGTGACAGATGAGCAACTGAAAAGTTCACCATCTAGGTAGCAAAGCCAGGTTCTACCAGCCCTGAGGTAGGATAGAAGAAGCTCTGCACTGGACATGAGGAACCCTAAGCTTGACTTTCAACGTCTCCAGCTACTCACTGTGTGAGCTTGACTCAATTACTGTCCCTCTTTCAGCCCCTGTGTCCCTCATCTGTACAAGGGCACTGGACATGGTAACCTCTGAGTCCCCTTCAAACCTGATATTCTCCTACTTTCTAATCTCAAAGCCACAGATCCAGTCAAGATGTGGTTGGTGAGAGGCCATAGCTGAGAGACAATCACCCTTCAAGTCAGAATCAAGGTCATTGTTTTGGGCGACTTATTTCTCTTTAGCTTAACAAGCTTCAGGTCATGTAAGAGCAAGTGGCTCTTACTACTCCAAAGACCTAGGGAGTCCCTCCTCTCCAGCCTTTCTTGCTCCGATCCAGTCTACCTTTTGTACCCACATCAGTATTTGTCTTCCACTGTGGATGGAAACGTCATCTGCTATTTCTGTCTCATTCTATAAGCAAGGGAATAATGAGAGAAAGGCCAACTCCCCTTAGCCAATGGAGAGGGCTAATTAGAAAAAGAAGTAGTTAATATGATGAGTTTCATTCTGTCTTTTCTGGAAATGTTGACCTTCAGCCCACTATTGTATTTGAAAAGTGATTGGACTAGGGTGATGGGGTAGAAGGACATATTTAAAACCCCTTAATCAAGCTATTCCAATCAGGGTGGCTTTTCTTGAATATTTCAAGGGACTGGTCTCATACTACCTAGGAGAGAAAAGCAGAATAAAAAGAACATGGAGCAAGTCCCAAATTCTTGCCAAACTTCTGCCATTAGTAAGATCTTAGACAAGTGATTTCCTCTCTTTGGACTTCAGTTTCCCCATCTGTAAAATAAGGGTTTTGGATTGAATGCTCTTTAAGGTCTCTTGTAACATCCTATTACTGTCTTGATTTTTGTTGCTTATTTTTGATTAGGCCTGGGAGGTAGAATCATCCCCTTATCTAGTATGCACATGACTCAAGCCACCTGAGAATGTTTTTGCATTTGCCTATACTCCCAAACTAAAGAGGCAGCCTGGGAGTCAAGAAGACCTGGGTTCAGGTCTCACCTCTGAAACATACTGATTGTGTGACCCTGGACAAGTCCCTTAACCTCTAAGTGCCCCCAGGCAATTCTCTAAGGCTTTAATCGGCACATCAGGTGAAGATCTACTTTGACAGAGGGAGTTTCTTTGTGTATCAATGAAATCACAGGTCCAAACCAAAAAAACAAAACAAAACAAAACTTGCCCCACTCTCATATCTTAGGGAGCTTAGCCAATGCCCATATATTAAAAAGCAAATCAAATTATGAAAATGATGCACTTCATTTCAACTTTTTTTTATATTACAAAATCTATAGATGTGAATTTGTTTTTTTTTCTTCAAAAGACCAGATAGTCATTGCCATGTTGTACTGCATCTGTATAAAATATCCTTCAGCCCTTTCCATGATGCTTTTTCCAAGTCTTTCTCATTTCTTAGCACATAGGACTGACTGTTTCATTATGTGGCACCTGCCCCTAATTAGTTTGGGTGACTCTTCACCTACCTGAGTTTCAGTTTCTTCCTCTACAAAATGAGTGGGTTGAGCTAAATGGTCACAAAGAGTTCCTTCAAGCACTAACATTCCATACTCCCTCTTTTTGGTTGGTCTCTTGGTTGGGTTTGGGGTTCCAGAATATTTTGGTGTTTCTTCCCTCTGACTTGGGCAGGGGATGGAGGAATGGTTGGGTCATGGAAGGGAAAGTTTGGAAATGACAGATTTTTCTGATTCAGGTGTTGTAAGCATGTTCTTCTCCACCCCCTTAATAAATCCTTCATGTTATTTGAGCCCTCCCTCTCTCCCTTTGCATTGACTTATCTTCACCTCTTCCTTTCCAAGATTCTTGTCTTCTATTGGCCAATGACAGTAGAAGAGTCTTTTGGCCCCCTTCCTCTGTAAATGGTTGTTCCAGCTCTCCACTATTTCTTTCTTCCAAGATAATGTCTGCCCACTCTGTCAATAGTCAAGTGTCAAGTCTTTCATTTTTACTCCTAATACTTAATTCTTTCTTAGTCCCTTCCAAATGGCTCTGTGTTCAGGGAAATATAGGCAGCCTCAAGTTTAAAAAAAATCTTCCCACAAATGAGCATGGTTTCTGAAGGAGGTATTTAGACTAAACCATAGTCAGATGGATTCCTTGATCTTGCTTGGTAACTTTTAAGCACATGCCTCCATTCTTATTTGCTTGATTTTTTTTCAAATTGATATATTTGTTTCTTAAATTATCATTTTAATTTTTAGGAGAAGGACTTTTTAACCTCTTGCCATTAACTAACTGACAGCCCTGAGTAAATTACAACCCCCTCTCTGAGTCTCAGTTATTTCATTTATAAAATTAGAGTTTCAGATGGGATGATTTGCAAGGCTCCTTCCTGCTTCCTATGTTTCCTGGAGATGTGAACTTTCCAAAATCAGAACTTTTGATTTATGGCACACTGGGGATGTTTACATCATAACGTTTGAAGGAAATGAAACACGATTTCATCCTAAAGTTTCCAAAGCTAACTCATTTATCTGCTCTGGCCAGAAACTATCTCTATCTCCAGTTCTGTGATTTTGTCTTGCTGACCTCCAGTTCCTCATGGCCTAGACTCCCCCTCTTCAGTCCTCATCCCGATCTATCATCCCATCTCCAGATAGGTAGCAAGATGCCTCCTCAGGGATCTTGAGTCTCTACTTATGCCCTATGCCTTGGGTTAATTTCTATCTGTCTTCACCAAGGAAGTATTCCAACAAATTCTGGGTTCAGAACATCTTCTGACTCTGCTGCTATAGACTGTTTCATCAACAGCTTTATATACATACATGTGGGACCACATGGTCTGAAGTTACTAACATGCTGGGGGCTCAGTTTGTGTCCATTTAACACGTGAACTGCTTAGCATTTTATTCATGGCACACAGGAGGGATTTTTCCCCAAATTTCCTACAAGTATTTGTGTACCATCTTTGGAGACAAAAAAAAATGACACAAAAGAGAATTATGTCTTTGTGGTGATGACTTTTTTGATATTCATATAGAAGCACTAGATCCTTTCAGAGATATTTACAGTATTATTAAAAGAAAGGGTTGTATTACAGTTTTACACAGCTGAAGTTTTTATTTGGTATTCAAAGGGCACAAAATTTTTTTGTCTGCTTACTCATTTTTAAAAATTAAAGAAGTGAACAATGTATGACATTGTCTTGCCATTATGTTCCCCTTCATTATTCCCCATGATCCTCTTTATATGTTCTATAGAGTCTTGGTTTGTTGAGTAATACCCACAGTTAATGGGAAGAGCTTTGGACTTAAGGTGGGAAGACCAAGAAATCAGATCTTACTTCTGCCACTTGATGTGTGACCCAGGGCAAGTCACTTCCCCTTCTCCATAAAATGAGAGGTATGCTAGATTAGGCTTATTACTCATGTTTATATAATTTTTTGAGGTTCACAAAGTACTTTGATCAAATGATCTCCTTTAATCACGACAACAATTCTGGGAAGTAAGTGCTACTTTCATCCCCATTTTACAGAAGAGGTGACCAAGATTCATAGACTTTGAAGGATTTGCCCAGAATCACACAGTGTCTGAGGCAGGATTTGAACTTAGATTTTCCCGACCCCAAATTCATTCTTCTATGACTATATGATTCTAAAGTCCCTTCTACGTTTTGGCATTATGTGATTCTGTGACTGTGGGAACGAACACAACAGGTCATTTCTCTGGCTACCAAATATCTAGCAATCTCAAGCTCCTGGGACCTAGCTGAAGATGTGAGAAAATCCAGGAGTAAGCAACCACAGCCTCATTTTCTAGCCTTTTCTCTTCCTCCTCCCCATTCATAGAATGAGGCCAACAACTGCACAGCTATTACTCACTTAAATCCAACTTACAAGCAAGTCAAGACATCACCCTCATGAAGTCACTAGCCCTCTTTGAAAATGAAGGCCCACCACCAATAACAACAACTAACTGCTCTCAAGACAGATAGAGGACTTTCTACTTCCCCAAAACAGGCTATACTTTCCCACCTCCCATTTCCCACTATTTCATGAGAAGCAATCCTCAGTCACACTCATTTCACTCTCAGCTCAAGTGACTCTCCATATATCTCCATCAACTTGCTAGCATCCTTCCCACCCTCAAGATTCCTCCTTTCTGAAAACCATTGTCCTGATTGGTGTATCCCTAGCCTATACTACCATTTCTTGAAGGACCCCTGCTATGCTTACCTGACTCCCTATTCTCTCCCCAGCATGCTTTCCAGCTCCCTGTATGTGTTTTCATCCCCATGACAAATATTCTTTTTTGCATGTGTCATGGACCCCATTGGCACTTTGGTAAAACCTCTAGATTCCTTGTCAGAATAAAGTTTTTAATGCATAAAAT